AAATCTCTTTTGATTGACCTTGATCTTCTTGTTGAAGCATCATTGGTACCCATGTGAAAACAGAAGGAGGCTGTATTTTGAAGCCTCTACTAACCTCGTCTTTTTTTTTTTTTTTTATGAGATTCCTGATTTGGGCCCCAGGGAGCAGCAAACTTCCTTGAAAAGAGGGTCTGCTTGGCAGATGATGTAGGTTATATTTGGTTTACTGTATTTTTAATTCAATGATTCCAGCAGAATGATTCAGCAGCTAACATTTCATGACTGTTTTGATTCATGAAGTTCCTCAATTGCAAATTGTTGAAGAAATAGCAATACATGTTTTGTTTGTATAAGTAATTTTACAAATACATTCATTGTTTGTTCAGTGGGTTCTGAGCTACATGAACTTCTGGTCTAATCAAGTAGTTTTCTTCTGTGCTCTTATTTCTGTGGAGAATTTTAAACTAAAATCTGGAATATTCTGTGTTTTCAGAACTCATGGTTCAGTCTCATATTGTAAGTTTTTTCCAGTGGCTTTCCCCAGGCCTGGATTTTACTCAGGAAGTAATTTTTTTTTCTCAAAGAAAGAATTTTTTTTTTAAATAAAGTTTTTTAAAAAATGCATACATCTTGTATCTTCATAAAATAATTTTGTTCTGGGCGATCTTTGAAAGCTGCTCAGGCTTTACGTTGCTGGAGCAAGGGGACAAACTTGGGCCTAAATGCCTTTTTGGTAGGCTTTCATTATCAGGGACACTGCCTCCATGGGGTTTGTCAGTGTTTGTTTCTTTTGTAAGGTATCTTCAAAAGTGTTTGCTGAATGTTCTTCACTTTGCACCCTGTTGAGGAGCACTTTATTCTCAGTGTTAGCCTTTGAAAACAGTCCTAGTGGTTGGAACCAACCTAAAGGTTGGAAGAGCAATGTCATGCTGCTCTCTACAGAAATCTGCATGGGTCAAAAGTCAATATACATTGTATTTTTCTTCACGGAGACAAGGTAGTCTGTGGGAAGCCATGAGAACTATTCATTTCATATAGTGTTGTACTTTCACAAGTTGGGTGAGGCAAGTAGAAGAGAATCAGAAAATAATTAAGAATTGGGTCAGGAAAGTGTGGCTCCATGGGATCTCACTGGCAGGAAGATTGGCACACAGATTGTGAGAATGACTGACTTTTACAATTGCTTCTGAGAGGAAGACCTATCTTGAGTTGATTACTATGAATTTATCATTGATCCACCTGAACTCCATGTATTGCTAATATCTTCCTCCTCAATGAAGTAGGTGCTCATAGTTAATTAGCAGTATTAGTTAGTGGTGTGGTTTCTGCTAGTGAAGTGTACATAGGCAAGTCAGTAGATATTGCACACCTACATATAAGACAAAGATCCCATTTCTGCACCGGAGGGAGCAATAGTTCATTGCTGCTCTAAAATGTAGTCTCAGAGTGTCCAGAATTGGCTTACCAGAGCTGAGGTAGCAAAACTATAAAGATAATCTTGGCAGAGTGGACTTGTGATGTATTCAGCACACTTTCTTAGACACTTTGTCCAATTTTGTGTTTGTCTTTGCTTGCACAGCAGTAGGGATATATTTGAAACTTGTTAGACTTTATGATTAAACATCCATACTGAAGTTACCCTTAAGACTTGACTTCTTTGGCTCTCTCTTCAGATTTCAATGCCTGTGCAAGAGTCTGCCTTTCAGACCTCATGGGAAGATGTGCACCTAAGTATCCCAATTAGGCTAGTATGGCATCAAGCAGAGTCAAATGCGCTCGAGAGTTTGTGGGCAGAAGAAGGTAGGAAGGTGAATCCTAATGTCCATAGCCGTTGTTTGGACACTGTGTACAAAAAGCCATAGACATTTTTGTGATTAGTGCTTTCTAGGGCAATATTCCTATTACATATCCCAGGTCTTGTCAGTGTCTGCAGGCAGAATAGTATTTGTGAGCAATAAAGATTCTTTATCTCCTCAGAATATGAGCAGCCTCTGAATCAATAAAGCAAATCAGAAGGAAAAGAATTGACTGAATTTAAAGGAAGTCATCATCTGTATTTAAACTACACAGACTTACCTGTCCTTGATTAAGTCTCTCTGACAGTTCCTATCTTTGCTTTTAACCTGCAGTGTTGATATAGTGAAGATATATTGCTACACTGCTGCCCTAAAACAAAACTGACTCCAAACTTGGAGGAAAACTATATTCCATAAGGTTTTCAGAAACTGTTACAAACAAATACTGTCAATATTCCTCTTCGCAACAAGAATAACCTGCAGTGTTACTTACTGCGTGGGTTTTACATTCTTCTATGAAATGTTTGAAATGGGATGTAAGTATCAAACCAATACAAGAGTATAATACCTGTGTCTTAAGCTGTATGTAGTGTCACTACTGATCAAGAAGAGGAACTGCCCACACAGACTGCCTCCATTACTTGCTCTATTCTGCTGGCCCCTGGCACCATGCCAAAAGACAACAAATCTTATTCATTTTCTTTCCTGCACAAAGCAGGACATCACTGACCAAGACTGCAGATAGCGGTTTAATTTATTATTTGATGCCTTCTGAAAAAAAATTTTTAATAAAAAATGTGTGTCTTTCGGGCTAGTATGAAAACAGGCAGTTGTTATCTTAATTAGCTTATCTATCACTCCTAAAAACTAGATTTGTGTCTGCAAAAAAGAGAAAAATATCATAATCTTTGCAATTTGTAGACAGTAAGAGAATCACATTTCATTGCTCCCTGATTAAAATGTAATGTCATGGTGGCCTGGGATTCCTTTTTAAATTAATAAAAATTCCTTAAGTCATTCTATGCTCACTATAACTTCCTAAGGAAGTTAATTACTTTTATTTCCTAGAGTTTATATTGAAGGATCTCAAAGCACTTCAGAAAAAGCAGGTGCTGGGAGATTTTCTGTGAGAGAATCATGTTGGGTCTTCTGTAGATCCACAAATATGCACAAAATGTATTTGCATTTTTATATATAAATAACTACTTTTCAGTATGTGAGCTATATAATTTTGATTTCAATTGCTATGATTATTACATTCCTTTTTTTTTTTCCCCCCACTGCACTTCTAGTTGAAATGTTCATAGCCTTGAACATTTCCTATACCTGCTTGTGATGGTTCGGACCTGGCTCCCTGCCAAATGCCCAAACCCACAGTAGCAGCCCCCCCTTCCCCCTCCCCCCTCCCTTCTTCCCCCAAGGCAAAGGAAAAAAAAAACTATGCAAATTGAAGAACCTGAAATCAAGTTAGTTATATTAAAAATATATATTTTATGTATATTACAGTTATATACAGTTAAGATGCTAGGTACACAGCAAAAGGGAATCCAAATACCCCTCGAAGGGATAGGGAAAGGGGAAAAAAAGGGACAAAAGGGGACAAAAAGGGACACTGAATAGGTATATGCAATCAAACTCAAGAATTATACTAAAAGCTAATAAAACAGATCTCACCACGTCCCTTAGAAAGCAGGATTGGCAGACACAGCCAGCACTCTCCGAGCCTCCACGTGTCAGGCCAGCGGACGCTTCAGGCCTCAAGCTTGGATAAGCGAGACTAGTGCAGGGACCCACTGTTCCCGAACCTCACCAGAAGAGAAGAGAGCAAAGGCCTCTCCTCCCTTCTTATTTATACCCCAATTAACGTAAAAATCATATAGAATACTGGGAACACTGCCCCTTCCTTGGTTGCAAGTTGGTCACCAAGGAAGGCCTGGATTAAAACCACCACACTGCTCTACAGTTCTTCCTCAGATTAAATCATCAGTGGTTTTGCAAGGAAGATAAGACAAAAACAGACTGCAAGACCACACAGCATTCACTTAATTTTTAGATGAGTGTCTGTAAAAAGGCTACATAGATATGAAGCTAAATGTATCACATTCCTTATTTTCTCACCTAGATGTTTTGTATTTGAAGCATTTTTATGGCAGTGCAATTTCTTTACAGCTTTCCAAATAATCAGTTTCTTCTAGGAGACAAGCGGTTCAGTTTTTGGGTTGTTTTCTTGGTTTTTTTTTTACAAAAGTCTCTCCATATATCATCTTTCTGATTAGCAATGAGAAACTTACTACTCTACTCAATTTATGTATGAATTAACTTATTGATATGCCTGAAAACTCATTGAATATTGAGAGCAGAAACACAAGAAAACAGCGTATCTACCCTATCTACCTCACTTATTATAAGTTGAAGATTACAGGTTGTGTTTCATTTCAGGAAAACAATAATTTTCAAAATCTGCTGGGGACTGTGCTTTTAGCCCGCTGCTCTGTTTCTGTTCCAAACAGAGATAACAATACAGCACTCTCTTTGACTCTCAATAATATAAGCATCATAACCATCAAAGAGTTTCCTTAACACGCTGTCCATTATTAATCTCTGGCGTCCTAATACTTCTGACTTTACACAACAGTGAAAACTAATTCGGTCTTTGTTTTACCTGCATCCATTCTGCTGATCTTAAAGTTTTAAAGGGCCTATATTAGGTCAGAACATTAGGTGGAAGAATCTGAGAGTATATATGTAGCCAGTATTATGGATGATTAATATTTAGGATATCAGTGATCATCTGAAAAGAAAGGTAAATGAGTGCAGCCCCTTCTTCTGTATGCCACCTGACCATGAATAGCCTTCTAGTCTCCTTATGCAGGTTTATTAGGTTAATATATAGAGAAGATCATCCTCTTAATTATTTGCAAGTACTATTTTTATGAAAAGTTGTTGTGCACAGTGCATTTCACCATAATTCAAAACACAGATTGACACTAAACTGTTTCAGAAGAGAAAAAAAGAATTTTAAGTCATAAATGTTGTGAAGAACATTGAAAATATTAGCATAGGGAAATAACATCTAATAGTATCAGTAAAGATACAGATACTCTCCCTTAACTTTTCTTGACTAATTACTCAGCAGTCTGCAGTTAAACTCATGAGAAGAGTGAGGAGAACTAAATTTTTGCTACCTTAAGAATAAGAATAAAGGTTGATAAAGGGAATATTTACCCTCTTTGCATTTCTGACATCCATCTGAACATGGTATGCAGTCTTCAGAGTCAGGATCTTCCACTTCACCTGTGTTTTGCAAATCATCAATATGGGTTAATTTTAGATAATGGAAGAGCTACATCTGGAAGCACTCAGCCAGGTTCATGGAAATAAACTTGATTCAAATCAAAAAAGAAGAAACACTCACAGAATTTTGTGGGTTTTTTTCATTTGTTCTTGTGTAACCTCACTCAATTTGAGGAAAATACTGCTATTTTGCATTAACATGTCATTAGAAGGGAATCCAAGTAGGAACTTAAGGGTGTTGGGGTCAAGTGTGATTGTATATTTCAAAACAGGATTTAGTTAATATGCTTAACCATATTTCTGTAACAAATTGAATAGATTCCTACTGAAGCACGCTTACCTTCTCTACAACTATGCTTCTGACACATATTTTGAGTAAGGTAGTAGCCTCTGAAACATCTTTTGCAGTGGCTGGAGTTCAGGCACACCTCACAGTGGCTGGAACAAGGCATACAGGTATGCTCTGCATGGTAGTGACCTGGAGGACAGCTCTCTCTGCACTCCCCACGATACAGGAAACGTTCAGTCCCTCTTCTGTCTGTGTGGCAAACAAATAGGAAAAAGTTGTCAGCCACAAAGGGCATTTCAGCGTAAGAAGAAGCTTTACAAAAAACTGGTGCTGTGGTTGAGACACTGACTGCTAAGTTTGTACAGTTTTGCACCAGATGAGTTAATATCTGTAAGAGTTTCAGGACCTTAAACCTTCAGTATTCCTGGAGATTTATGGCTTTTAAAGATGTCATCCTAGTGAATAATGACTGTTCACATGCATCAACCTAATAAAATGGCATCAACCTAATAAAATAGAATCAACACTTTTCCACCACTGAGTTTCCCTTTCAGAGGACAAATGAGTATTTGTACTGCATTGTACATACAGATATAGAATTAGTATTAGGAAATCAAAGTGGCCCAATTCACCAGTCTGCATCCCTATAATATTCAATTGTAATCCTTATTCTAGTGAATAATCTAGATTTGAATTTGAATGGCAAATTTTTGCAGCTATTTGCTATCAGTGAATTAGCATTCTGTTGTGCACAGGAACTGGGAAGTCCCCCGCTTCAAATCCTTCTGAATGAAACCTTTGGAAACACCCATAACTCCATGTGCCATCTGCTGTAACATGGAGAGTTTTCTAATAAGTTATCCTACAGTATAAATTACATACGTTACTGTGCTAAGTGTATTTCATTGCCTTAACTACAGAGCAAGAATTTGCTTACCTTAATTTATTTTTGAAAATGCTTGCAATATTATAATATTTGCAGCAATAGAAAATAATTGCTGCATCATAGCAGAAACACTGTCTTTGTTTCTTTTCCTTTTCATGCACAAATCTTTATAATTATTTTTTCCAGACTCCTAAGAGTATGAATCTCATCAATGTCTTAATTTCTTGATGCCCAGAAACACAGGAATTTCTGTCTACAATAGGGAACAGAATTAAGGAACTGTTACACAAACTTGCCCTCACCTTAGGCCTGAAGTACTGCTTGAAAATATCATCTACTGAGTCACATTCCCCAAAGTGAAAAACCAGTCTCATAATCAGTATGACTAATTGCCAGCTATGCTACTGTTTGCTTGTAATCTAAACACTTATTACTAAATAAAGCCTGGGCCATTGATGAGTAGGACTAAAATGGAAGTAGCAGCTGAAATCAAAAAGGCTGTGAATCCATTGTGAATCGTCAGAATAAAGCTCATTAAAAATTGCTCTTTATTAAGTATATTAGAAGTTAAATACTCATTTCCAAAGGAGGCTCAAGCTAGTTAGCATACTTGTATGTAGTAGACTCAGGTTCTTTGCCCATTAGGTGTTACACAGATAAGATGAAACAATTTTTAAAATGGAGCTTCAAAAGGAGAAGGGTTGCTTTTTTGAATTACCACAAATTTAACTACATTTGCCCCCCTCTCAACCGAAGTTCTATAAAAATGTGTGTTAGTGGTAAGCTTCTCTTTGCAAACCCTGTTTGTTCAGCTGTAGGGACACAGCAACCTGCAGTGGAACCCACCATGCTTGTTTCTTAACTTTCCCCAGACAGATGTTACGGAAAGCAGTCTGGCTCCCTGCCTGCTTGTGCAAACTTGCAGTGTAGCACATCCTGTGCAGAGGCTGGGGGAGGCATGTATGGAGATTTCTTTTCCAGAAACAGGCTACATAGGTTTTCTGTCCGTTTTTCCCCACCCCGGGCTGTTCTTTCTGTTTCTGTTAATGTAGCTCCTACTGAAAATATACCAACAGAAATACATTAAGTTGCAAGGACAATACAGACTTGTGTTTTCTTGTACTTTTTAAAAAGCAAATCAAGTTCCAATTCCCTTCAGAGTTACAACAAGATTATGACAGAGATCAGTAGCAAAAGTACTACTCATTTTATTGACTCTTAAAAACTGGCCCTGAGAGCTGAGGGAAAAGGGAACTTGGAGGCCAAGGGAGGGGTAAAAACTGGCAAGAGGAAATATTTCTTACCTGTTCCACAAGAGGTGCATTTGTTAGGTTCACTTCCACTGCAATCCAAGCAGGTATGATGGCACACATGACATTGTCCTTTGAATTCAAACTTTCCTCTGGGGCATTGTACAACACAGCGACCATCGTCAAAGACTCTTTTAAAGAACATAGGGTATGATTACAAAGTTAGCAACTACTTGTTCTTTAAATTTAAAGGAAACTCAATATATTCTTCCCTCACTCTATTTACAAGAGTATTTGAACTTTAATCCTTCATTTTCCCAATCATATTCATAATATTTACTATGTGAAAGGTGTTTTGAACTTGGATCTTGGACTTCAAAGATTATTTTTCTCTGAGATTTTTTCTGAGAAAAATCACCTTTTGATCCTTGGCCTAGATGTCCTTATACCACAGTCCATGCAGTAGTCATTTATGCCTGCTAGAAAGTAAGCAGAACTTGGTCTTTCTCTGTGAATGAATAATCCATCTGTTTTACTTTTAAGACTCCCTTTGAAAAATACTATGACTTCAGTAAAATGATTTGTAGATAAAGTCAAACATCCACCTGAAACTTGGTCTTTAGGAGCTGTACTTTTTCACTTGCATATTGTCAGGCTTTAGGAATGGAATTCCCTAATTTTGTGCTCTCAGTGAAACAGTCCAAACCATGTGCCATTCATTCACTCCCCTGCCGCAGGATGGATATGAGATTTGGAGGCACAAAAGATAGAGATCACAGTTTGAGGTAATAACAATTTACTGCAAACAGCAATGAAATAAGAAAGGGAAATAGAAACAGCAACAATATTAACAACAAACTGTACAATAGGCAAACAATTAACATGTGAGTGCTCACCACTATACCGTGAAGGCCCCCAACTTGACCACACCATACTGGAAAGGGACCTGTTTACCTACTCCTGGAAATGATGTAAGATAGTTCTGAATATGCCCTCCTGGCTACTGTGAAAATGAACCCTGTTGTGACTGAAAACAGGACATTATCCACCCCTTATTTTATACCATCTTTGTTAAGCCCAGATCCTCCATCTTCCAATTATACACGCACACACACACACACACACACACACACGTATATACATATATATACACACAGAAGAACAGGTATCATTTCCATAGCTGTCCCTCCATCATTTCAATAGCTGTCCCTCCAAGATGTGTGCTGAGCTCATTTAGTCCATGACTGTGGGTTCTATCCATCCAAAATGTCTTTAGGGCAGAAAGACTGGTGTGTTGTCAGTTGGTTGCAAGCTGCATCAGGAGCTCACAACTGCTGTATATGGAACAGTTCATCCTCCTTGTCCATGGTAGTTATGGCATATAGCAGCAGTATCATTTAGCAATCAGTATTATACAACTCAACATTACAGACTGATCTCACCCAAAAACCGAATCCCGCAGGAAACACAATGTGTTTCCTTGCCCTCTACTTTACTCACCAAGTGTTCTCAGGTCCTTGAGAAAAAAAAACAATCCCAAGGATGGATTTATTTTTGCTTGAGGCAGGAGTAATCCAAAGCATCTTCCCTAATGTATTTTTCATATGCACCACAGAGACTTTGTCCCCTTCTGGTGGGAGTTTTGATTGGGCAGGGCCAGCTTGATTGGTAGAGACTCTAGTGTTAACTAACTAGCTGGCCTTTGTTAAATGTAGGTCCTAATGTTTGAAGGTTCCCCCATCCATTGCTCTCAGTGTGGTTTTTAACAGTCTATTGCACTGTTCAGTTTTCCCAGGGGTGAGTATATGATAGTGACTGTGATATATCTACTCAATACTATGCTTTCTCTGAGGATATTTTAAATGAGTGCTATTGTCTGACTCAGTTCTTTCCAAGGTGCCATGTTACCGCAGGACTTCTTTTTCAAGGCCCAAGGGGGTGTTCCAGGCAGTGGTGTGAGGTACCAGGTACACCTCCAGTAGATGTTTCTGACATCATAAGCATAGAGCATTTGCCTTGGTGTGTTCGCAGGAGTGCGGTGTAATCATATCTGCCAGGTCTACATATATTTATATTTCAGTCATCATCCACCATACCGCAGAGGGTTAGATTGGCCTGCTTGATTGCAGTGCATGTTTCACAGTTATGGATAACCTGAGAGAGAGTGTCCATGGTTAAGTCATCCCCTTGATCATGACCCTATCTCTGTGTTACATCTCTTCCCAAATGACCTGAGGCATCACAGGCCCACTGAGCACGAAATAATTCACTCATGCTGTCAGTCCAGATCCACCTGAGACATTTTAATCTTAGCAGCCCAATCCACTTGTCCATTGTGTTGTTCTTCAGTAGCCTGACCCTTGGGTACGTGTGTATCTATATGATGTACTTTTACAGCCAACTTCTCTTCCCAGGCAGTGATGCCTTGCCACAGTTCAGCAGCCCAGATAAGTTTACCTCTACCCTGATAATTTGTTTTTCTCCATCAGTCTAGCCAACCCCATAGAGCATTTGCTACCATCCACGAGTCAATGGAAAAGTTCAGCACTGGCCATTTCTCTCATTCAGTGATATCTAAAGCCAACTGGGTGGCATTCAGCTCTGCAACCTGACTTGATCCACCTTGTCCTTCAATAGATTCTGTGACTCATGGTATTGGACTCCATACTATAGCTTTCCATTTTTGAAGTATCCCTACAATAGGGCAGGAACTGTCAGTAAAGTGATCATATTGCTTTTAATCTTATGGTAGCTGATTAAATGTGGGGGCCTCCTCAGCATGTGTCACCTCCATCTCCTCCTCTGACGATAACAGTTTTAAATTTTCACCTTCAGGATAGTTCATTATAGCTTTGAAGGTCCCTGGTCTAGCAGAGTTTCCTATTCAAGCTTGTGTGATCAGCATGATCCATGCAGTATCAGTGGCATGATGTGTGGGAGGGGTTTCCCTTTGAACATCCCACCCAGCACTGGCAGTTGAGGTGCCAGGAGGAGCTGTGCTTAAGTGCCAATCACTTCTAAAGCAGTTCGAACCCCTTCATAAGCTGCCAATATGTCTTTTTTAGTTGGGGTGTAATAGGTTTCAGATCCTTTGTATCTCTGACTCCAGAACCCTAGTCAATCCAGCATTCCAGAATCCTTGAGTTTCCTCTGGTAGTTTCTGCAAAGACTCCATGAAGGAACCATTCTCCCCAGGTATAGTGTAGAGAACATTTTTCACATTTTGTCCTGTCCTGATTGGCACAAGAGCTACTTCATGAACAATCTATTTAATTTGTTCAAAAGCTTGTTGTTTTTCTGGCCCCCACTTAAAATCATTCTTCTTCCTGGTCACATGACAGAGAGGGTTTACAATCTGACTGTAATCTGGAATATGCACTCTCCATAAACCCACAGTGCCTAGAAAAGCCTGTGCTTCCTTTTTGCTGCTTGGTGGGGATGTAGCTGCTGTTTTGTTGGAATCTGATGACAACCATCTTGCTACTTTACTCCTAAAAACTGAATTTCCTGGTCAGGTCCCTTGACCTCACTTTGCTTTATGGCAAAACTGGCCTTCAGGAGGATCTGAATTATCTTCTAACCCTTTCTCAAAAAATTCATCTGCTGTGTTGCCCTACACAGTGATGTCATCAATGTATTGCAAGTGTTCTGGAGCCTCACCCCTATCCAGTGCAGTCTGAATCAGTTCATAACAGATAGCAGGACTCTGCTTCCACCCCTGGGGCAGTCATTTCCAAGTGTACTGGACGCCACACCAGGAGAAAGCAAACTGGCCTGCACTCTTGATGCCAAAGGAATGGAGAAAAATGCATTAGCAATGCCAATGGTGGCATCACTTTGCTGCCTTGGACTCCAGTTTGTACTGAAGTTCCAGCATGTCCTGCACAGCAGCACTCAGTGATGGTGCGACTTCCTTCAGTCAGTCTCCACTCTCCACTAGACTCTTGCACTGGCCATATGGGACTATTAAAGAGTGAATGAGTCTTGCTGACCTCTCCATGGCTCTCCAGTTCACGAATCATCTCATGGATGGGGATCACAGAGTCCCAGTTGGTGCAGTATTGTCGACAGCGCACGCTGTAGTAGCGATCAGTACCTGTCCTTCTTTGGCCCTCAGCAGTGCCACAGCAGAAGGGTCCTCTGAGAGACCCAGAAAGGTATTCTGTTGTCTAATTTCCTCTGTCTCCACAGAAGCCATTCCAAAAGCAACGATGCCTTTTTGATCCTTTAAATACCCTCTCCTGACATAATCTATCCCAAGACTGCACGGGGCCTCAGGACCAGTCTCAATGGGAAGTTTTTGCCATTCATTCCCAGTCAGGTTCACTTCAGCTTCCAGTTGCAGTCAGCTGTTGGGATCCCCCCTGTCACCTCAGAAACTGAGATGGATTCTGCCCCTACGTATCTTGAAGGCATCATGTGTTGTGTGCACTGTGTCAACTAAAACCTTACACTTTTGCGGGTCTGATGTGTCAGGTTATTGAGTCTACATAGTCCAAAGATCCAACTGCCCCTTTCCTCCACCTGGCTGAAGGCAGGGCTTCTCTAGTTCTGTTCATAGTACCTGTTGCTCACTTCTTGTAAATAAGTAATGGAGATCCCCTCAAGAGAATCAAAGGTAAAATCACCTCTCCTATTCTGTGTGAGGACTTGCCAACTGGAAACTGAAATGATATTTATGCTTGAAGAATTTCCTGTGGTGGTTGTCCATTATTTCAACTCTTGTGCCCATGCTGCTAGGGCAGTGATGAATTTTCCATCCCACTTCCCCATGCCGTCTCCATTGTTTCATAGGAAAAATCACATTGTGTGGAGCGTACCCTCTTTCTCACAAAGTGGGTGCCTTCTTCCATTAACAGACAGTCTGGTCTCTACCGGTGGGCCATGGGACATTTCCTCTCTAATTTGTTTGAATCTTTCAAATCTGTCTGCAGTCTTGGAAAGTCTTTCCATAGCTGAGGTGCAGGTTGGTAGGGAGGAAAGGAGACGATCACAGAATCACAGAACCAGCCAGGTTGGAAAGGACCTCGAGATCATCAAATCCAACCCTTCACCCAACACCACTGCAGTTACTAGACCACGGCACTAAGTGCCACATCCAGTCTCACCTTAAAAACCTCCAGGGATGGAGAATCCACCTGGACAGCCCGTTCCAATATCTGATTACCCTCTCTGTAAAAAAGTTCTTCCTAATATCCAACCTAAACCTCCCATGACAGAGCTCAAGCCCATGCCCTCTTGTCTTCCTGCTGGTTGCCTGGGAGAAGAGACCAACCCCCACCTGGCTATAACCTCCCTTCAGGTAGCTGTAGAGAGTGATGAGGTCTCCCCTAAGCCTTCTCTTTTCCAGACTAAACAACCCCAGCTCCCTCAGCCTCTCCTCACAGGACTAGTGCTCAAGTCCCTTCACCAGCCTAGTTGCTCTTCTCTGGACCCGCTCCAGCACCTCAATATTCTTC